CCAGAAGCTGTTATTTTTTTTTTGAGTCTGTTTACTCCATTTTTATTGGTAAAAAATTATTGCTCAATTTGTGCTGATTGTTCAGGACCTTTTCATTTTATGGCTAGCATCTTCAATATCTATTTTTTCTTTTCCTTTTCTAACAAAAGCATTTAAAATCTTCAAGTGAACTGTGTTCTCTGATATGATAACCCTTTTCTTCCAGCCAATGAGAATGAGTTGGGTTCAAGACATTCTTTGAATTTCAGGAATTCTACAATGTGATAATAACCACTCATGATAACAAGTATGAAAAAAGTGAAATAACCAATATCACCAATTGTCAGTATTCTTGTATTTATCTATTTAATTCTATAACCTGAGACAAATGCTTGTATGTAAGGATCTATTGTAAATATCTCTAAATATCTACAAGTACCAATTTTACATCAGGTTTCAGTAAAAATGCAGCACCCTCTAAACAAATGAAAACGTGCCTGAAAACATGATTTACTGATTTCTACTATGTATCTTAAAAAAAAATCCAAAGAAGTATCTGCAATATTATCAGTGCTGATCTAGTATTTCAGCTTCAATCACTTTTCCATTAATATAACATATCTTCCCTGTGCTTTTTCTATAAATATTTTCATGAGCATTCCACTTTGGTACCTCAAATTTATGAATTTAAATGAAGTACTAGATTGGCAGTTAGGTCTCATCATTTTATTTATGGCTAAATATTACCATATATGGCCTGGTACCACTGCTGTTCATCTTGAGGTTCTCAATAAATTCCAAAGATAGATATGCAATGTAATAGGTCCTGATCTGGCATCTTGACTCCAGTCACTTTCTCACATATATGATGTGGCTTCCTTCTGTCTTTTCTACAAATATTTTCATGGCAACTGCTCTGATGAGATATTTTCACTGGTGACCCGACTGCATGAATTTAAGCATGCTACTCGGTTGGCATCTTGGTTCCACCCTTTTACTGTTGAAACAGTTAAATGTAACCACCTGTTCTACTCCGACAGCTTCTTCTCTAGCACTGACCAACAGGGGAATGCCCTTCTTCTTACTTGCTTCCCTGATAACTATAATTTTCAAAAATTTAAATGTAATGTCCATCGACATCTTCTGATGTCTTGATCTTGATTCCAGTCCTCTTTATCCTTTCCTCAGACACCCCTCTTTACTCTTACTTTTACTCTGTCTAACCCCTTGTGTGCTAGTGACACTTCTGCCTTACTCGGGGTGAAATGCTTAAAAAAAAAACTTGTCTATGGAACTCTCTTTCAGTTTCAGGTTTTCCTGTAAACTACAACCTTCATAAATCTTAATGCAACATTAGTTGTCATCTTCTATATCTACTTGAATCTTATTCATTTCTCTTTAGTAATGTTTTCCCAGTCTCTTTTACTCTCCATAACTTCTTCCATCTTAGTGGCTTTATCACCTTGATTGGGGTGAAATGATTAAAAAAAAAAAAAAAGAATGCTTATCAAAAAATTCATAAATAGAGCTTATATTCATCTGGTAACATCAAAACAATTAAATATTTATGTCGACATTGGAATTTCAAAAAGATCTTAAAGAACAAGGTGGAAATCAGTAAAATTTATTTATCAGGTAGCATACTGGAATAGAATTTGCTTATCATTTCACTGTCCTTTGAGGAAGACCTGTAGAAATAAATAAAACTTCTGAAATGTTTTTAAAAAATTGTATATAAATATGATATAATGAACTGGATTTCTGTATCTTTTTAATAAGTAATTTTGTTTAACATAATTCCTGCTGCAGTGCAGGTCTTTGGATTGTGGAAATATACTTGCAGCAAGAAAAGACTGGAAAAAAATATCAAGAGAAAATCAGGAAAATAAAAAATAGAGAAAATAAAATGAAGAGGAAAAAAGTGTCCTTAGAAAGAACATTTTAAACTAAAGTTTTTCATTTGAAATATTTGTGAATAAAAAATATAAAGGAGACAAAAGTTGAAATGCTAATGGTTGTGTGCCCTTACACAAGAAAAGCCAATTCTAGTTGCCACTGTGTATAAAGCATGGATTTATCAAATAATTTATTCAAATTCATAATCTGGTTAGGCTGCTAAAATTAACTTTGTTGCACATCTAATTTGTTCAGATAGAAATACCTACAGGCTTTTTGTTCAATTATAATTTTAGGGTTTATTTTTAGTTCATGAAACACTGGAGACCATTTCCAGTTTCAGACAGAACTACTCTGCAAATTCTCTTCAGTTCTGTACCTTGTTACATTTTTAGAAAAAAAAAACTTTATTGGAATAAGTTATTTCCTTTAAACCAATCTCATCATTCTGGGCTAGTGATCATTATCGATCTGCAGTCATTATGGATTTGTGATCATTCACTCATAAATATGTTTTATAAATTTACCTTGTTGCTGGTTGGCTGATCATCATCATCATCAGTCCCATGAAGAGATGAGATCTTAGGCTCAATATGCAGCTGAGCACCTAATCAGTTCCAGTTTATGGCCACATTATGTAGAAACACTGGTCTCCATATGATCACCAAAGTTAAGCAACATTGAGCCTGGTCAGTACTTAGATGAGTGACTGCTTGTGAATACCAGGTAGATTAATAGATAAGGGCTTGGAATTTGAAATTGGAGAGCCAAATTCCAATTAGGTTCATTATATTCACTTACATGCACATACCCTTGGGAAAGATATGAATCCACTTTTTCTCCCTCAGATATGGGTCAATAAGTAGGACTTGTGATATGTCCCGGAAAGAGATATATTTGTTTGAAGTAGCAAAGTGATTGTTGACTACTGAAACCGGGTAGGACAATCTATCAGGTAACTGTAATGGACTGGTCCTCGTCATAGTGGTAGGCAATAGGCAAAGACAATAGGTGTAGTCCCTGTACCTCTGCATCAGTCTGTATTTATGGCTGACACCAGCCAATCATATTACTGTGAGGGGGAACCTCATGTGTATACATATTCATTACATCACTTCTCCTGAGCCAAATTTTCCTGTGAGTTTTCTTCGCCGAACTAGGCAACAGCCTGTCGAACACAAAGCGTATTTTTCTCGCAAACATTAGCTCTGCTGGCAATAACCCTCACGTTGTATTTGAGTTTGGCATGACTCTATATACTGCCAAAAATTTCTGAATACTTCTTTCATTTGTGTCCACACCTTGGTTTTTCTTCAACGCTCGTTTAAAGGTGTCCACAAATTTTTCCACCTGTCCATTCGATCTTGGATGATATACTGGTGTTGTCACGGGATCAATGGACAATGATGTACAGAATTCCTTGAATTCTCTTCCATTGTCACTGACTAAAGTTTTAGGGAGTCCAAAGTGACTAAAAATTTCATTAAGTGTGTTTATTGTATTTGTTGCAGTCGGATGTCTGCACTTAACAATTTCTGGCCACTTAGTGAAACTGTCCACAATGATCAGGTAATAAGATCCATTTATCGGCCCTGCATAGTCGATATGCAATCAAGTCCATGGGACATCTATCTTTGGCCATGGTGGAATCTTTACCAGTGGATCCCTTGCTGCCAGTTGGCATCCTCTGCACTGTTTCACCAAATTTTCTATGTCTTGGTCTATCCTCGGCCAATAAGTATAGCCTCTCATTAGAGATTTCATTCTTGAAATCCCTGGATGGCCAGTGTGAAATTCTTTCAGAATTTTCTTTTGCAGAGTACATGGCATTACAACTCTATCTGTGTATAGTAATACCTGTTCGCAGATTGAAAAAGGTGACACACTAATTCCTTTTTTAGTTTTCTCATGCAACCAGACTTGCTTTTTCATTTTTTTTAATGAAGTAATCATTCACCACTGCTTTTTTCACATCTAGTGTAACTGGTAGTTCTCTAATAGTGTTGCATAACAGACCCGACAATTCACTTTCGTCTCTTAGTGCCGCTATTACTGTTTCTTCCAGTGGTTCCATATATTTAGGTATCAATCTTGATAACCCATCGGCGTGACCTCGCTTCTTTGAAGGCACATATTCAATTTTGAAATTATAATTCAATAGAATTACACCCCAACGCTGTAGTCAATTTACCGTGTGAGTTGGTATACCATTTTTTGAACCAAATATTGTTAACAGTGGTTTGTGGTCTGTTTGCAGGATCCAAGGACACATGGCACAGTGGATAAAGGCGTTGGTTAGATCCAGTGACAGAACCCAAAGTGAGTTCAATACCTGGTTAAGGCAGTGGAGAACTTTCAGAGGGAAAATTAAGAGGAGATAACTGATAACTGACATCCATTAAACATGGCACGTGGAACTAGAACAGTCTACCCCAGTGAGCGAAATAAAGGGTTCAGTTCGACATTCCAACCACCTGAAGAATGCCGGAGCATACAACATCCGAAATGTTGTAATAAATATGGCGACAAAGATGAGAACAATAGTCTGAATAATGTAAATAATGTACATAATACCTCATCTCAGAAATATAGACAGGTATTGAAGTCTTTCTAATGTTCTTCGTTAGTAAGTGTTGTCAACTCTATATTTTTTTTCTTTTGTTTTAACTTGTGAGGTCATTTTGAATCTCATCACCAACTGATATGTCCCGGAAAGGGATATATTTGTCCAAAGTAGCAAAGTGGTTGTTGACTACTGTAACTGGGTAGGACAATCTAGCATGTAACCATAATGGATTGGTCCTCGTCATAGTGGTAGGCAATAGGCATAGTCCTGTACCTCCATATCAGTCTGTATTTATGGGTGACACCATCCAATCATATTACTGTGAGGGGGAACCAGGTGTATGCATATTCATTACATCAACTTGCATCTCTTAAAATGTAAAAATATTTTCTGGCTTTAAATAACCCACAAAGGTTGATAAGTCATAGAAAACGAATGAATCAATCAATCACTGATCAGTTCCATCCACATATGTAGGTTGAAAGTTTGGGAAGTATTTATTCCTGCATAGAATATTTTGGGCAAGTAGACCTGATGGAGTCCATCCCTGTCTAGGTAAAATCACAGCTAATGTCTTCAAACTTGAACTTGAAGGCTTACCTTGGTCATGGATGCATGGTCATTGATTTTATCAATAGAACCCTTTGCCCTGGCAGTTGACTTCAGACTAGAAAGCCTTTTACCCAGTGATACTATATTATCACTACCCAGACTGCTATGGATACTGGTTTACCAAATTGTGTTTGATGGTAACTGACCCTACAAGAAATGTTCATCTGCCTTTTTATAGGTCTAGTTTTTAATCCTGCTAAGACATGTAAACTTTTGTTGGATTTTTTATGGGACAGTGAGAATTTAACTCACTCTACTATATAATAGTCAACTAGACAAGCCACACTAACCTAGATTATTGTACAGATATATCTATATTCACTAATATATTAATGTGCTTGAGTTACCTTCACACAAAAGGCTAAAGAAAAGTTTTCAGCCTGACCAAGTGAATCAATATTTTTTTAAGGCCTTCTTGGTTTGGTTGAGAAAATTTCAGCAGAGAGCATGCAGTCATCATCAGTCCAATGGCTGTGGTCATAGTGTTGCTGTACTGATTATTATCTGACAAGCTCCCTCCCTACATGACTTGGACACTGAGCAGGGTGTCTAATTACCTATTTTACACAATTATTGAAACTTCTTTATAGTTTTTTTTTCTTTTCCTTTAACTTTAAACCTTAACAAAATTAGAGGATTAGCAAGAACTTCTCAAAAAAGGCCATCTTGTATCTGCTCATTCTTTCAGCTTTGAGGGTGTGGTTCAGACTAAGAATGTTATAGAGACATATTTTAATAAAAATTGCTTGTGTTACTAAAAGAATAATAATGACAATTCATCAAAGAAATTCATAGACTATTTTTTCTAATACCGTAATGTAATTTCTATTTTAAAAATTAATTTTGTTCAACATTAAAAATGTGATAAAATAGAGTAAATTATATTGTGACTCATAAATCTTTCCTGTGATACAAGTATCCATGCATTGGTTGAAAAATGATTCTGGAAAGGTAACCTTGACATATTTAGGAAATATATTAGAATAATCTAGAACCCATACTGGAAGCAAAATGCTTGTATATAGATAGAAAATGAATTCATTAAATATACAAAAATAGAAAGGGGTGAAAGACAACAATGTCTCATCTGAGTGGACTTATTCAAACTATACAGTGAGGCGATTCTGACAGAAATAGAAGTTCTACCAGGATTCATTGCTGGCAGCCATATTCTTAACAATATAAGATAAGGTGATGACACAGAGTTGATAGCTGACGTAGAAAAAGAACTTCAAGACTCTGATAGAAGGTAGTGAAAGAAAGTGAAAAGAAAGGAGCAAACATCAATTGCAAGAAGAGAAAATGCATGGTTGTTAGCAAAAGGAACAGCCCAACATACTAATTACAAATTGAGACACCAAAAACAAACAAGTACAGCAATTTAAATTCCTGGGAAGTATTTTAACAGAGGATAGAATGGACAAAACAAATCTGAAGGCACATTGGTATAGTGAAAGATACAATTCCAAAAGACTTGAAGCAACAGAAATTTGGCTCTACAGAAGACTGCTGAGAATATCATGGACTGAACATGTGAGCAACAACAAAGTTTTAGAGAAAATGGAAACAAAAATGACACTTGTACTTAACCTCAGAGCTGAAATTTCTGGAGTGCATAATGAAAGAGGGGCTTGGATAACGGGATACTCATAAGATAGACTGACAGAAAGAGAGACAGGGGAAAACAATGCATAACTTACCAAGTGAGCTTGAGTAAATGAGTGGCAGAACATGGTTTTAGTGAGGTAACAAAAAAAAACAAAATTGATTAAGTGCTCCAAAGGGCAAAATGTTGTGGAGAGCCATGATTGCCAACATCCTGAAGGGACATAGCACATAGAAGAAGAAGAAGAAGAATCCATGAGATTTGTTACATTAATATGCATCTTCTGTATGACTTGTGCATACTGAGGTGTGTCCATGAATTTTAGGAAACAATATTATGATTACTAAGCTAGTTTTCATTCATGACTTGCTTAATCTACACTGAAATATCTCACTTTAAATATACAATCATTATCTTTGCTTGTATGCCTTGCTTGTTTAGTCTGTAGTATCACGTCTTAATCAATTTCACAAGTGAATACTATAACTGTATATGCAGCATATAATGTCATTAAATACAATGCAAAGAGTTAAAGATCAAATGTAGATCAGATATGGATCAAAATCTGACAGGATAAGATAAAGTACAAATGAGAAACGTTTGCCAATCTCACATGGTTCCATTTTATTAAAGGTTCATCGGAGATTGAGAAAAAACAGATAAAAAGAAAGAACATAGGTATTTTCAGTTTTGTTTGGATAGATTTTCATTTGTCAGTTGTGTATCATGTGCATTAAAACCATAGATAATTCTATATGTATGTAAGATTGTAAAAATTCTAATATGCCTAAGCAGGCATCATATGGTAATGTGTATTCATAATTGTGTTTGTGTGTCTGTCTTTCAATTTTTTTTTGGTCTGTTAGCATCGTGTTGTGGTATTCTATTACTCTATAGCTGTTTTTATATGCATATTCTTTGTATTAGATATAAGTTAGATTCTTTA